AGTGATCTGCAGTCCGTGCGGTCAACGATCAACGATACCTAATCTGGAAGGCCGAGAGTCTAGTCTTGTTGGTAAAAAGATTTGGCATTTAGGGAAGAACATATGCAGGGGCTTAAATAAAAATTTAACTGTTATTCTGGGTAAATACAGATAAATCCCATATTCGGATGCCACTAGATAGTGATTACGCAGTAAAAGATAATGCCAAAAACGAGCAGCAATAAATTTTCTCCAGACTCAATTTTTTGAATGTTTGATTGAAAAGAATTTGAAAATTTCTCTTACAGGTGTTCTCCTCTGTACGTGATGGTTTTTATACGGAAGTTCGTCGAATACGACGAGCATCGAACTCGTTCTCTATTGGATCAAATAGCAGCACGAGAAGGAAGAAGTCAGAAGGAGACGGTGCTAGAAGCGCAGGTAAGCATTGTAGAATTCATTTCGTGAAAAAGGAAGAAAAACTTGTGCAGTCTAGTACGGTCACACTATGTCTCTCTTGATGTGAGCTCGAATCGAGCAGTTTGAGTCCCGCGTGCCCGCCTTGCCTGAACCCTCCTTCGCGTACGCGAACGGTCGTATGATCATCATTCTGAGACCGAAAAAGGGTTCAGATGCGAACTTCAACTGTTGATTTGGCGTCGAAAAAGGTTCGGAGAACACGTTTGCTGACGCGGCGCAGGAATCATGCGAGGCGGCGGCGCGGGACTCGATCCGCTCAAGTTGCGGTTACTCCAAATGAGACAGAGATTAGCTGCAACGCGGCTGTGCGTACGCGCTCGCACAGGCAACGCCTAGCGAAATTCTCAGCGTTGTCTCCGGCCAGACTTACTTTATTCTTTAGGTGGCTCACCCCGTACATCCTTCTCGCACTCTGGATCTCCTCGTTCCGGGTCGCCTGAATCTGGCGATGAAAATCCTTTTGAAGAGTACACTAACGATGCATTTCTGAAGCCACCCACTCGAAACATGCTTATCGCTCGATCTTACTGATCGTGATGGCCGGGCAACTCGTCCTCGTGATAAGAGTCTCCTCAGGATTGCCTTGATTCACTCTGGTATAGTTACCACGCTAGCGTAGGATAGTGTATTCACATCTACTTTGATGTTTGACATGTGGTAATGCGACAATTTAAAACATATTTCAAATTTGAGAGTCTTGCTTATATCGCTCTTAACGTTAACCTCTCTAATATCTATTTGCCATTCAAATTTGTGCATAATTTTGTTAATAATTATTGCCTTCCTATTACTGGTTACGTTAGAGCAACCTTTCAAAATCATCTGTGCAAGTTTACCTAGTAACTCTTATTTAGTCGATTTTTCTTTAATTATCATTTCACTAAATATCCTTTTTTATCGTTTTTGTTGTACATAATTGTAAGAATAAACGGTTTTTTTTGTCTTTTCTTAGAGTTC